CAAATAAATAAATAAAATCTTTAAAAAAAAAAATATGTAAATGATTGTCAGAGTTCAGTTGTCATGTAAGGTTGAATTTTTATTCATCAGTATTTGGAGACACGTTAGTCCATAAAATCTAGAGGAATCCATTTCTCAGCAAGAGTGTCCACATGTGGCATTAAATGCACATTTTACTTTTGACAGTTCTTAAAGATAGATGAGGAATCCTGGGAAAAGGCAAGATTGTTGGGAAGCAAAAAGTTTTCATGCATCAATCCTGCCGGGTAAAAGCTGATGAGAGTTGACCGGTCTGGTTAAAGAATGAAGAGAAAGCGTGTGTGATGCCCGCAATGCTTTTCTAAGGGGTTTTAAGGTATTATTCTCCGGTGTTTGGGGAAGTTTTGCAGTAACTCTGTGTTACTGTGTTTCTTACCTGCGGCAGAGTTGGAAGTCCGTGTGTGTGTGTGTGTGTGTGCGCGCGCGCGCATACACCTACATACCTACATACAGGTTTGTGTCTTTTCAAACACTTAATCCCAGGCAGACCTTACCCTGTCACTTACGGAGTGCCTTCCCCCTGCTGTCAGTGCTGTGTGCTTGGGGAATGCAGACTGATTTTAATAATAGCCGAAGGGAAACATAATTAGGAAGGTAAGCCTCCTGCCAAGAAAAAACTACACACACGCACATATAAAATGCATTCCAGATAGAGTTGCTTAGGTTTACCACGGCCTGGGACTTGCTTTTCTGCACCAACATTGATAACCCAAAGCTGACTGTAACCCACTGTTCTCGGGGACCCCCCACCCCACAGGGCAGTTGGTGCCAGGCCGGCCACAAAGAGAGAACCCTGGTGGGTCGGTAATTTTCTGGACCCTGGCATCGGGCTCTGAACCCGTTCGCTGCACTTGTCTTTATAGGTCTTGAGTGTCCCTGCGCTCACCTGGCTTTTAAAATGTAATGAAAAACTTGTTTCAGTTCTGAATAGTTTGCAACAAGCTCCAGCCGCAGCAACTGAAAGTTACTTGAACGTATGGACTGTAAAAAGAAAGTTCCTTGCTGTTTATTCCCCTGTAGCATCCCGACTGAGCAGTGAGGCAGGACGAACCCGGGTCCGGGCCACTAAGCCAGGCCACGTCCGTGGTCACAAGTAGAGATCGCTCCATTTTGCACATGAGGGAAAGGACTCGAAGACCTTAGGTAACTTCCCCAAGGGTGACCTACAGGTAAGAAAT